CTCTCTTATACATGAGTTGCTGTGGATTTGTTTCTCCAAAGTACCCAGACTAATACAGTCGGTCTCTTACATGTGTCTCCCTACCTATCTTTTTGTTCCTTCTGTGTCTATTGACAGGGAACCCTGTTGGTGTAGTGGTTACACTTGGGCTGTGATTCCCAAGGTCGCCAGTTGGAAACTACCAGCTACTCCTCAGGAGAGAGAGGAGGCTTTCTACTCCTGTGAAGAGTTAGTCTATGGGAAACCCACAGGGCAGTTCTACCCTGTGCTGGAGGGTCACTATGATGAGTCGGCATCTACTCGATGGCAGTGCGTTTGGTTTAGTTTGGTGTCTGTTTCTGCCTGCGTCTCTCTGGGTTCTCTGAGCTCTGGTTCTTGATAGCCCTCTCTTCCATGTCTCTATCTCTCTCTGATTTTTTCACCCCTCTTTCTCTCTAGCTGAGTGTCTCTGAACACCTCTGTCTGTGACTCATTCTCTCTCCGCTTGGTTTCTCTGCCGTTGCCTACCTGTCTTTCTCATTTCTATCTCCTCTCTGCATCTGTGTACTCCTCATTGTCTCTCTTTTCTGCTCTTTCTATTCACTACATCTGTCTGTCTCTCCTAGGATCACCGGTGGCAGAGTTGTTAGGCATTGGCTACTAACTGCAAGGCCAGAAGTTCAAAACCACCAGCTGCTCCACAGGAAAAAAAGGTGAGGCTTTCTAACTTGGTAAACAGTTCAGGTACAGCCTAGGGAACCCCACAGAGGCAGTTCTACCCTATCCTGTAGGGTCGCTGTGGATGGGCGTTGACTCAATGGCAGTGAGAGAGTTTTGAGTATCTTTCTTTCCTCTATCTTTGCTTCTCCTTCGTGGGATCCAACCCACATCCGGCTGGGTCCTAAGGGACGGTTGGGTAATTGAAGGGAAGAAATTAAGAGGTAGACAAAAGTTTTGTGGTGCTCACCTCCATGGCATCTGGAATCAGGTCCAGGAGAGAGAGAGAAAATGTATTCTTTTTTTTAAAATCATTTTATTGGGGGCTTGGACAACTCTTATCACAATCCATCCATCCATCCATCGTGTCCAGCACATTTGCACATTTGTGGCCATCATCATTCTCAAAACATTTGCTTTCTACTTGAGCCCTTGTTATCAGCTCCTCATTTTCCCCACCTTTCCCTACCCTCCCTCCCAAACCCTTGATAATTTATAAATTATTATTATTTTGCCATGTCTTACTGTCCGATGCCTCCCTTCACCCACTTTTCTGTTGTCTGTTCCCCAGAGAGGGGGTTATATGTAGATCGTTGTCATTGGTTCCCCGAGAAAATGTATTCGTACATCAACTTATATACTCTCCTAACAAAGTGTTCTCATAACAATGAGTTTATTGAGGGAGTAACCTA